AAGCATAAGCAGTTAATAAGAATATTTATTTATCAGCCCAAAGAAGCAGTAGCCCAGAAGGGCTATTAATTTCGTTTTGGCATTTTGCGTCGAAAAAAACTTTAAATCTCCTTTTCACTTTCTAAATTATGGCCACCAAATGCTGTCGACCTGTGTTATATTTAAAAGAAATAAAGACAAAAAAAAAAAAAAAAAAAAAAAAAAAAAAAAAACAAAAAAAAAAAAAAAAAAAAAAAAAAAAAAAAAAAAAAAAAACAAACCCCACCTAGCCATCCAATTTTAATAATGTAATCTTCCACCGAATATGGGAATCTGGAAGCCCTAATTTGGAATTTGCTTTATTATCGATTTCATATTTTGTAACACTTTAACGAATTTTTCATTAACAAACTCAACGATTTCAAAGCGAGCAATGGTAATAACACTGTACGGAAGGGGGGGATTATCTCCAGCGCGCGAGATTGCGTATCGGAAGTTCTAAAGATATGCTGATTTTAAAATTATTTTGTGATATTGTGTATATCCAAGTGATAATCATGAACATGAATAACATTATCGTAATTAAGAAAAGATGCGTCTGGCACAATTTATCACAAACTTTGGTACAGAATCGTGTTTGGTTCATTCTTATTACTTCAATAATGCATCGAACTTTTCGTAAGCTAAAATACATTTCATTTGTAACATATGCAAAAGATAATTTTATAAACATTTTCAGTGCTATTATAATTAACAAAAGATATTTATTGAAATTAATAAAACAGACGAAAGAATATTTTAAACACATTTTATGTGCTTAAAAAATGAACAGTTGAATTACTTCATTTCTTTAACCGCCCCCCCCCACATTTAAAAATATCAGTACCCTTTAAAGTAGGGTTTTCCAACCCGTGGGCCGCGGAACGTATTTTGGTGGCCCCGCATTTGAATTTGAAGAATTTTAAGAAATTTTGATTTCAAGAAAAATTGCCTTGTCAGCTTTTTGTCGTAAAAAAAATTTTTTTTTTCTCTTATTCTTGATATTTAAAACATTTCATTGATATGCCTGATATTTGAGATAACATTTTCTGGAACCGACGAATTTTTCAAAAATTTCAATTTTTGTTATGTAATTTATCTTATGCAATATTGTTCCAACTCAACTTCAATTAGAATTTTTAGATTTACAGTGTGACTCTGCAATAAAATGAAATTTTCTTGAAAATCCTACATTAATTGATTTTTATTCGAAGCATGTGACCGAAGACAAGTATCCAGGAATTCGTAAACACGCACTCTTCATACCTTCTATCTTTAGCAGTACCTACATATGTGAACAGATTTTTTCTAAAATGAAAATCCTACATTCAAAACCAAGAACACGGCTGACAGAAAAAAATTTGAAGGAACTTTACTTTACAAATTGCAACAACACAGATTTAACCGGATATTGAAGCTTTAATTAAGTAAAACAAAGTCAAATTTCACATTAAAACTAAAGTAACTACCATCTCCTGCCAGTAATGTAAGTTTTTTCTCTCTTTTTTTTTTTTTTTTTTTTTTTTATTTTTTATTGCAAATGCATTTTGTAACACAGTTTTGTACAATTATCTTTATACATTTTTTTTCATAGTTAAAAAAGATTTAAAACATTTTAATTCTATTCCATCTGACTGTTTGTTTGGAACCAGTGTATATATATATAGTATATATAATTTATTTCCTAAACAGTATTGATTAATTGATTATATTATCTCCTAAGTTTAATTAAAGTAGAATTATTTTAAAAGTGTGAATCCATACTGGTAAGTTATATTTGAAAGATGTTTTTGAAGTAATTTGAAAGTAAAAATGTTAATAATGTTTTAAACGGGGACTGGAGTTAAATCATCACGAAGAATAAAATTTCAATTGTAAAAGGAAAAATTAAAACATGTAATCATTGTCATTGATCGGAAATTAGTTGACTTTTCAAGGGGAACAAACCAACTCCCGTTCAATGAACAATAATTGATAAAAATACGTAAATACGAAAGTGTTTCGTCTTTACTCGAGTTATAATTAAAGCCAAACCGGCAATTCTAGTCAGGCCAAATATTTCCGCGAATAGAAGGAATTATGAACCAATGCTGATACTCAAAGAACTTATTCTTATGAAGCATTTTAGTCAATTCAATTTGGAGTAAAAATCAATTACTGTCGAGAAATGCTATTTAACTCGAGTAACCGTCCCCGACACTTTCATGTTTATGCATTTGAGTACTATATTATTTGTAGAAATTAAGCATTGGAAATTGTTATTATGAAATCGAATTCAAAGTAAAGTTGAAATAAACATAGAAGATTACAAAATAAGATAAATAATGCAAACTTTGTAAAAAAATCAAAGACAATATAAAAATAATATAAAAATAATATAGAAAATATATATAATAAGAACAGTGAAATGTACATGAAGATATAAAGGCCAGAAAAGGTATTAAGTAACTTACATTCTTTCTAGTGGGGAGTTGGCAAAGTGTTCTCTTCGTGTCTGACTCAGAAGTGTAGGGTGTCCGAAAATTCTTAGCGGCAGTAGGGGCTTTTGAATAATATCAGTCGGTAAGACTTGGGTGAAGTAATTTATGGTAGTGGGTGGGACTCGGAATTCTTGAGGGATGTATTATGTGGAGTTCTTATCTTGAGAGAGACTGTCTGTTAAGATTTTTTTGAAAATACTAGTGAATGGAAATTAATTAATTTCTGGCTAATTGTCGTGTCGCAATGATTAAAGAATTTAAGAAAGGAAAAAGGAATTTTCACTGTCCAAGAGCTGATAGACAGACTAAAGGCATGAAATAGGCCCATTTTTTTAGTAACAGTATAGTAACAGTATATGTCTGAAGACAATTAGCTTTTTAGAATATATACAATTGAGTAATTACACTATATACAATCTTCCAACTGACAGTCATCCAACTTATACCGCCTTTTCAGGTTTAGGAACAAATTATCATATCCCTATCAGTTAAATGATTTAGAGTGAGTATTTAACGCCTGCTCTTTAAGGCAATGGTTGATAAATTGAATGGGAATTAGATTATTTTTTGAGAATTTTGATAAGGATCAAAATTTCGCGTTGTAAATCTATTGTATCTCTGCATATAGTTTTAATTCGTTGTATTTGATTAATTATAGTATTGTTAATTACTTTTTGGATATGTTGGAGTTCCAATTTATTAATTTGTTAGTATTGAAATTGAAGTTTCTTGTTTTGTCAAAAAGTAAAATTTTTTTGTAGTTAATGATTTGAAGATCTAGAAAGTCTATGCTATTTTGTGAATTATTAGTTTTATTAAGTGTAAGACAATTCGGATAAATCTCGGAGTGTTCAATTTTACAAAATTATTAATTGTAATAAGGTCATCAATATATCTGTAGGTGTTGTTTGTAGTTAATTTAACTCTTGTGGTTGTAGATTTTTTTGGAAGTTAAATTCTTGACAAATAAAAAGATATTACAGATCAAGGTGCTGGAATGTAAGCCCATTGGCAATCCTCTGACTTGTTTAAAAAGTTGATTTTGAAACTTGATGTAGTTATGAAAAAGTGTGCATTTTAGGTAGGTTTTCCATTTGTCAAGAGTCATGATATTGAGTATATCAGGGAAAAGTTTAGGTACATCAAGTAGACTGGTATAGATTTCTTCTAGAGGAAGTGAGGTATATAAGTTTTTCAAAATCATAGCAGTTAATGTTTTGGATGTTAATGGTTTGAATGGCATTAATGACAGGAGTGTTATTATGAATGATCCAGCAATAGTTATGATTAGTGTTACAATCATTGAAAATAAATTTACAGATTTTATTAAGTTGAATTGAAAAAATATAGTCTACATTTTTCTTGTAATTATTAGTTCCATTAGCTATAAATCTAAATTTTAATGTGTTTTTATGGAATTTGGGAATCGCATAAAGATTAGTAAATCTGTTGTAGTTTGCATTGAAAAGTAATATTGAGTTTCTTATGAAAAGTTTTAATCCTGTTTTATTATAGATGTTTCTGTAAGGTTGGCTGATTGATAAGTAGTTGCGTTGAGAAGTTTCTTTATGAATAATCTCAGTGTAGAATTGTTTTCATATAATGCTAAAGTACTATATATATACAAATCTGTAACACTATCTCTTCGCTTAGAATCAACTGTAGTCTTGCAAAACAAACCTCCCTTTTTTATATAAATTTTCTGACTACACAATTATTTTTGACAGACATGTGTCCCGCGGATCTTTGTGAATTCATTGATGTGGCACTCGGGCGTGAAAGGTTGAAGACCCCTACTTTAAAGTAATGGAAAAGATTCATGAACAGCGATATATGAAAATACACTCCGCCAATAGTTTGTAATTATTAGATAATTTTATTTTCAATTTATGTTCCTACGAATTAAAGTTGTTTTGTATAGAAGTGGATTATTTTTTCCTAAAGAGAATAACTAGTTCAAGAACCGTGTAAATATTACATTCAATAGAGCTGGCAACACGTTGCACAAAAAAACATTTCAGCCTGAAAATTTTTCGGCACGAATTCTACCGCATAATGGGACATGGAACTCAGTGTTAAAAGATTGAAGATATTTTTCTTTGTACCATTCGTTAAAATGGCTCCACAATTTACAACTATTAGTTATACCTAGATGGTATCGCGCATTTGACTATGTGTTCAACATCATGTGATAAAGAATTCGTTTACGAAAATAAATTGAAAGGCAAAAAACAGTTCACGTTTCTCTCTACTTCTTGCAACAGAATTCTTTTGAAAGTAGTAAAAGAATTCACACTGATGGTTGAAAAGCGTTACCCTCAGTTCACGATATTCAGTTTCAATATGCGCATAACATGACACGCAAATAAGCGATCAGGTGACTAACTGCATAAAAAGAGGACGCGTATTTTTTTTAAAAAGAAAAGCAAGAAAAGAAAAGAAAAAACAAAAAGAACGTTGCGAAAAAGATTAACGAGCATAGAAAACAGATGGAAAGCGTACCTATCTTACATATCGGAGATTAGGTAACGTGCAACACATCTGCAAGGATGTTTGTCTAAAACTTCTGCTCTTATCTTTGCACCGAAACGTTTATTCTGATCCTTCCTGCAACTCGGAGTGAAATTCGCTAATATAGCCCTTTCAAATCTGGCATCGACTAACAACGCTTTCTTTACTAGAGAGCAGCAAAAAAAAAAAAAAAAAAAGTAAACAAATAAAATGGCGCAGCGTCTGTTAATTCTTCTTTGCGATATACTATTTGCGTTTAAAACATAAAGGGTTTTCACTTTCATATTGCTTAGACTGCATTGAAAGAGCTAAGTCTAGACACGCTGTAATCTTCAACATTTAAATCAATGCATTTATGGATTTGAGTTGTGTGACGTAATGCAGTAACGCCCAAAGTCCGTATGTTTCAGAACATTTGCATTATTTTGAAAAGTACAGAGTAGTGGCTACACTCGGCGGCGAATTTGTGAAGTAAGGCAGTGGTCTCAAACTCAAAATTGGACGAGTGCCAACTACATGATCTGAAAGTAGCTGACAAGACGCAATAAATAAAAAAAAAAAAAAAAAAAACTGAAATGTTTCAGATTTTAAATTACGTCCAAAGGGGCGTTTTTTAACATTTTGTGTGTTACCTTTCTTTATTAAATATCATGTTCCTCGCACTTAAACCATAAGATCCAGTGCAACAGCAATATCGCAAAATAGTTTTAAAACGAGCATATCTTTAGAATTTCCGATACAGAGACTCACGCGCTGGAGATAAAAATGTTTTTTCTGCACAAACGTTTGCCATTGCTCGCTTTGAAATCCTTGAGTTTGTTAATCAAAAAATTCGTCAAAGTTTTAAAAAATAGGAAATCGATCATAAAACAAATTTCAAATTTCAAATTATTCTTCCACATGCTCATATTCGTTGGTGGATTACGTTATTCAAAATTCGATGACTCTATGTACCGTTGTTTTATCACAATACGAGAAATATACATACATTTATGCAGATTTTTCATTATTTAATTTCTTCAAATATAATGCAGGACTCTAACATTTTGTGGCAACAGTTTGAAAAGTGAACCGACATTTATCCGTCCGACGCAAAATGCCAAAACGAAACTAATAGTCCTTCGGGATTCAAGTCCCTTTGGACTAAAAAAAGAAAGAAAGCTTTCAGATTTTATATTACGAACCAAAAGGGCGTTTTTTTAAAATTTTGTCTGTTACTTTTATTTAGTAAATATCATATTCTTCGCACTTAAACCATAAAATTCAGTTCAACAGCAATGTCGCAAATTAATTTTAAAATGAGCCTATCTTTAGAATTTCCGATACATAGCTCTGAAGATAAAAAGGTTCCCCCCCCCCCACACACACACCCGTAGAGTGTTGCCATAGCTCGCTTTTAAATCGTTGAGTTTGTTAATCAAAAATTCGTTAAAGTTTTACAAAATATGAAATCGATAATAAACAAATTCCAAATTTGGGCTGCCCGTATTCGCAGTAGGATTACGTCATTCAAAATTGGGTGGCTCTAGGTATGGTTGTTTTACCACAGTGCGAGAAGCATATATACATTTATGCAGATTTTTCATTATTTAATTTTTCAAATATAATACAGGGCGATAGTATTTGGTGGCAACGATTCGAAAAGTGATACAGCCTTTTAAAGTTAACAAAAATTCGCAGGCTAATTACTTGAATAATAGTAATAAATGCGAGAGCTAACAAAGAAAATAAAAAGTATTGGTAAACATACATATTAGCATTACAAATATCTTTCATTTATTATAATAATATCATAAATTAAATAATTATAAAGCATACCAATTATTTTTTTTATAAATTACATCAAAAATAGTCAAGATGTCTGAAACTAGACTGGAAAATTTGATAGAGTTCACTGGCGTGCAAAAGATTATTCCATATCAAAGTGTGCTAAAACTATTTTTTTAATTAATCATGTAAATGTTTGCAGAAATTAATAGTTAAATTAAAAAAAGCTTAGCATGAAATCTATTATAACAACATTACTATGCGTTTGGAACACTGACTTATAAATGTAAATAAATTTAAATTATTATGCTAAGAAGTTTTTTCTAAAATTTATCTAGAAGAAAAGAATTAGATAAACAGTACTGCAAATTAATATAATCAATCAGGACTCTCAATAATAAAAGTTTATTTTTTAAGGGGACTCATACACCTTAAACCTTTTATGATCTTCGAATATGTGACTGTTGCAAGAATTGAGATATTTTATTTATTTAAAAGCAATTACTTCCAACTTTTACAGCTGACTATATATATAGCTGCTTTCTGAAATAGTAACCAGAAAGTTGTGTTTGTCACAAATATTTTTGTAATTTAATCCTCTTTGTGACAAAATATTTCGCCATGTTTCCACCTTGCGCGCATGATATTTTAAAAAGGCTCATGGTACATACTTAAAATTGATGGAATGGGAATTCTTATATGGGCACTATTTTCTTAACTGAACAACCAACAATCTGATGGATATTTTAATACTAAAAAATTTTATGGATGAAAAATTACAAATTTGTTAATAAATACATTTTATAAACTCAACTCGAAATAAAAAAAAATTTAACATGAAATTTTTAGAATTTTAGGTTCATAGTAGTTTCCAAAATGTTATAAAAGCTATATATTAAATATGGAATTAATTATGAAACAGAATGTTTTAAACTGTGCGCGCAAGTTGGAAATATGACGAAAAATGTTTCACAAAGCGGATTAAATTATGAAAAATTTTGTGGCAATACAAAATTTCTGATTACTATTTCAGAAAGCCGCTATATTAGTAGTCAGCTGTAAAAGGTTGGTAGTAATTGCTTTTAAAACAAATAAGTTATCGCAATTCTTGCAACAGTCACCTATTCGAACATCTTATGGGTTTTAAGGTGTACGAGTCCCCTTAACTAAAAATTAAAATTGAGATGCAAAAGTATGAATAATATACTTAGAAATATCTGAACATTTAATTAATTAGAAATGTATAATTAAATTAATAGCAAGCTAATTAACAGTAACATTAAGCTTAATTTCATTCAATCTAAAACAAGCAATCGATCATGAGCTCCGCATAACTGAAGTTTTATTGCTATTTTACGTAGATTTGCGTATAAAATAAATATTTGCATTTATGAAACAAGTGAATAATATACTGATAGTCAACAGGAATTAAAATACAGTGGTTAAAAATATAACTACATGTCAGAAGGTATGCAAAGTTGCCATGGCTAGAGAAATTGAATGATTATAGAAAACTGATAAAGTTAAGCGCTACAGCGTGAAAGAAAATTCTGGAATAAACATGTTAAAAAATTAGATGGAGAAATAATCCTTAATTTATTGATATCCATATAAACTCTATGCTTTGGGAAAAATGTTACATATAATTTTGCACGAGGTATCAATCACCGAACTGAGTTATCTTCCCTTATTTTTTCTTATTAGAGGATTTTAAAACGATATGCTAAGGTAAAGGTAAAACTTTCTGCAATACTTTTAAAGAAATTAAAAAAAGTATTTTTACTTCATGAACTGAAATTTTTACGCTACATTTTTATAAGTAAATAAGTACAAAAAAGAAAGAGCTGGGGGATCACTGGGTAGAACTCGGGTCGAACTACCATTGTTAGTGACTTTCCACAAGACCTTTTGATTAGGCTGAACAATATATCAAGAAATAGAAGATACAGCACAGTAAGAAAAAAGGGTTGAATTGAGATTACATGTTTGTTGAATGAGCTAATTACCTGTATGCCATTATGAAATTTTAGGAATGTAGCATAAAAGCATCAGTGAAGAAGGCAATGGCAATTAAATCATGTAATCTAATGTTACATATCCGTATCTGCTATTAATTCAATACTGCACATTTAAAGAATTTAATAAATCCATGAATCGTATAAATAAATTAGCCAGAGAATATTATTAGTGTGATTTAGCGACCATCTTTGTAACAACTAATTTCAAATAATTTATAATAATTCACCGAAACAGGTTAGAAAATAAGCTGCTGCTGAGGATGCTTTTGCCAAGGTGTAGAAACATCTTCTGTTATGAGTTATGATGCAAGCTTGTAAAAATTTCATTAAATATAATTGGCATAACAAATAAATATAAATAAAAATATATAAATTCTACATATATTATAACTAGATACAGTGCAACATTTGTGGAAAGGAATGTATAAAAGGGAAACTGAAATCCCAAAATATAAGGTAAACTTATTTTACTCTTCACCAAACATGTAAATCTCTAATTCAGTCCCTTTTGTCTTACGTGTGCTGTATTTCTATTTTCTTTGATATATTGTTCAGCCTAATTTCAAAAGGTCTTGTGGAAAGTCACTAAACATTGGTAGTTCGACCCGAGTTTCAGTCCAGTGATCCCCCAGCTTCTTTTTTTTGTACTTATTTCTGTATAAAATTAAAAGGAATTTTATATAAGGAGTTCGGTTTTTTTCCCTCTTTTTCTTTTTTTGTTAATTATGAAAATTCTGCAGATGCTCAGAATTATCAATTTATTAATTAAATGCGTTTAGAAATTAAATGTATGCCAAGTACATCAGGTAGAGAAATGTAGAATAGAAGAAATATTTAACGTTTCTAGTTTAAAATATGGAATTGTAAGAAAAGTTAATAAACTTAAATACCAATGACTAAATGGAAAGCTTAGCTTTCCATTTTTAGTATTGAATTCCATTTTTAGTTTTTTTTCTAAATGGAAAGCTTGAAAAACGTACCAATACCTTTTATTTTTTAGCTCTCGCATTTAATGCGGCATGTATTGCAATAATATTAGTGTGAATTTAGACCACTTAAGAAATTTAATTTTTAGATTTATTAAGAGAATTTTTAATTAATTAGAACGTTTACCTAAATGGTAAATTTGAAAGTTAGAACCATTCTGCTATCTAAGATAATTTTTAATATTTATCGAGACAAGAAAAAAACTTATTTAAGTTGCCGTACAAATCCGCTATTTAAAAGATTAAAGATTGATTATGTATCTGTTTATGTGTGTCATAAATTTTATTTATTCATATTTCATCATGAATTACTGATATATATATATCACAGCAAAATCTAAATTGGAAAGTTTTTTTTACAGAAAATAAAAAAGATCTGGCTCATTATTCTTTAAGCCATAAACTTTAAAATGTTGTAAAAGAAATTCATTTTACTTTGCACACGCCAGATTTTAAATCAGTATTGTTTGTATCGAATTTTTACAATATTGAAAACGAAAAAGAGGCTTGTAGTCTCAATAAAATGTCCCATTAATGGCGATATAGCTTTTTGTAGCACCATCTTCTTGAGAATTCACGTTCTTAGAAGAGGGGACAGGAAACGTCGGCAGTTCGTGGATTAATAGAGGTGAGAATCTTTCGATCACATTGCGCGCAGTTCGTACCTACCCTTTAGAATTCTGATACAGTCTCGCGAGCTGGAGATGATTTTTTTTTTTTTTTTTTTTTTTTCCCTTCGTACAGTTTTGCCCCCTCGCTTTGAAATCGCTTCTTGTT